ACAATAATTATACTTTAAGAAATCTAAATCATCTGTTATCCAAACACTTCAACTAAATTATATTTAAGAACAATTGTATTATTACAAGTCAAAAGCTAAATCTACTTTAACATTGTTGATTACTATCAATTTTCAACCTATTTGCTGAAAAGGCTGATTCAACACTTTCTGTTGAGAAAAAAAGAAAAATCATGCTTTTTGTTTCTTTTCAGCATTGACAAATTTGCTAATTGGGAACAAAATTTAATGTCAACACTTAGATAGTTGAACCTAATGGGGATGCCATTTTTATTGCTAGGAGACAAATTATTAGGTTATACTATTTTTTAAAATCAAAGGTTTATTTGAATCTGGTGACAAAATGTTAAAATTTAGGTCTAGACAAAATTCTGATCAAAATGTATATGCCAAATGTGGCTATGTTATATGACTACTTAAGACCCATATTAGACAAGATCAAAATTTTGTTCAGCTTAGAAACTTGTTATGCAAATTTACAATTTCATTTACCATAAAATCAATTTTAGAGTCAACTTCAAAAGCATTAAATTTAAGGCTCTTTGGATGTGTTCCTTTTAAAATTCATGTACATTACTGCAGAATCAAAGTTACCTGGTAAATGAAAAGTACCTTTCTTGTAGAATTTGCATTTATAATTAATATATTCAGATAATTAAAACAAGAATTAATTTGTGCCTACCAATTTTTTTTTTTTTTTTTTTTTTTTACTTTGAGACACTTCTGCTGATCATTCATTGTGGCTGAAATTTTCAACTAAGTGTGGAATCTGTCTAGTTTTTTTTTTTTTTTTTTACTTTGAGAGTTAAATGTTAATGAACAGAAAATGAATTAATTATGACTCCACGGGCACTGAAACTGGAGCCACTTGGTAAGGATTGGTTTTGCAGAAGATAACAAAAGAAATTTAGACAGACCTGAGGTATTTAATACTGATTTCTTTTTTGTTTTAATGCTAACAGCATCTAAATTTAAATGATTGTCAGAAAAAAAAAAAAAATAAAATAAAAATAATTTTTTTAGTTGATTGTAATTGAATATAAAATCAAAAATATCTGCTACCAATCCAAACAGACATTTAATCAGTTTTTTAGATAAGGAAATAATTTCGGTAAATAGTCTTTCTTTAATGATCAACTTTATCATCATTATTGGCAATATTGTTGAATATGATAAAAATGGGACAATTTAAATAAGAATTCTACAAATTTTGTATTAAAATGCAATCAAACTTTCTTGAACTAGGAATTTTTTTTTTTTTTAGTAAATTCCAATCAGAATTTATTATTTTAAAAAAGAAAAATAGTCATATTTGGCAATTAGATAAATCTGATTTTTTTTTTTATTTAAATCAATTTAATTGCTCAGTTGAATTTTTTTTTTTTTGTGAATTCACAAGGCGATGATACCACTATGCAAGGACTGAAAAAAAAAAAAAAAAAAAAAAAAAAAAAAAGAAAGAACCGGAAACCCAATCTTAACAAGGAACAAAGGATAAAACCTCTACTACTCCTGTTCAAAAACCGGGAAGGAGTGTGAACCGGACGATAATCGAACCGGTTTGATACTGTTTATCGGAAAAAAAAAAAAATTCTCATGCTTGGAATCTTTCATTAACACAAATCAGAGTTCAAAAACTTGTTAATTTTTGAGGTTCCTAAAGCAAGTTGTAGTAACATCTGTCATAGCACGAACGAATAAGGAACGTATTTATTTACTGTAATTTTCATAAAAAAAACTTTCTGTACTAGCAAAGACTGAAACAAGATTATTTTTTCTAATTTAAGAAATTACGTACATTTACATTACTACAAAATATAAGTTATATTTGGAGACAAAACAGTGAAAAAGTAACTGAAAAAAAATTCATTATTTTTCTAATAATCTTAATTACAAACGCAACAACATTACTCATCCCATTCAGTGAGGATATTTCAGAGAGGAAATTATCTTTTATTGCATCTAATAACCGAACGTGTGTAAAATAAATGAAATCCAATAATTGAAATGCTGCATTGTCCTCAGCTATTGATTTTTCTATGTTACATCTGGTAAAAATAGATTTTAAAAACTACAATTAACAAAAATAAAATTTCCCCCTACCAGAAGACTGGCAGTTTTTCAAGGATTTTTTTTTTTTATGGATCAAATTCAAAATTTAAGAAAAAAATCTAAGTAACGCACATTTCAAAAGACAGCTATAATTCAAAGACTACCCAATTATTACAACATCAGGTCAAGAATTAGTGTTGGGTTGAAATACGGAATCAATGTAAATTGTAAAGTGCAGATCGGTAAGCGGGTAGTAGCAACCGTCATTCGTATAGCGATAAGGGTGCACGCTCTGAACGTCATCAGGTCCCCCCACGTGCGCATGGCAGCACAAAATCATAACATCAACTTAGTGGTATGTCAGCATGAATTGTTTGACGGAAGGAAGCGAAAAGAATGTCAGACAGTTTTATCACCATGGATATAGCAACGTGTCTAGAGTTGAAGTTTTTCTTTCCCAGCCTGTGGGTGCAAGGGAATATCAACACGTTACTTATCCTCTTCCTCAAGCACTTGTAGCAGCTCTGGCCCGACTGTCTTGCTTCACGGAAGGAAATGGGGGGAAAAAAAAAAGTAAAGTGCTGGATCCTAGCCATTACACCCGCCCACTCTGCAAGTTAAAAAGAAAAAACAGGGGGGGTGACGATGGGAGTGAGAGAGAATAGTAGAGAGAGTGGGGTAGAGAATAGAGATGGGGGTAGGCAAGAAGACGACTCAATAGTTCACGTCTGAGGTGGGGGGGGGGTAAAAAAAAGAAAACACCGAGAGGGTAAGTCTTACAGAAGAAGAGAAAGAAAAGGGGTCAAACGGAAAATGAGTGGTAAAGAAAAACTAGAGAGGAGAGAGAAAAGAAAAACAAGTAAATAAAACAAAAAACAGATGCCAGTTCCAGAGTGTATAGAAAGTTAAATTAAATTCCCACACCTGCGAATTTGTCGGTTTGCTGAAGAATTTCACAAAAATTTACCTACTTCATTAAAAACTTATTTTTATAAACCCTTTTTTTAAATGCTTTAACCAGATTTCCCCCCTTAAGTTAAAAAATAGCATTATTTTTAAATGGAAATTCTTTCCGGTCCAAGTTTGTAGATAATTTTTCTTTAGGTTTTTTTTTTTTATTCAAAAAGAAACAAAGAGAACCACTCAAGTTCAGTTTAACTTTCACCTAAGAAAATTGACCAAAGAAAAAAAAAAAGTCATAAAAATCACTTCATGGAGTGGAGATTAACTGAATTACCTGTAAAAAAAAGAATATAAAAGAAACGAACAATGTATTGTTTTCTGGGTGGACTAAAAAGAAAAAAACAACAAAAAAAAACGGTCAAAGAGAGCTGATGAATGCTATAGTCTTTTTACAGTGGTGTTGGGTCGTTTCAGGTCTAAGGAGGCTAGCAACAAAAAACAAAAAACACTTGCCTTGAAAAGTCTGATAATTTAAGAAGTTTTTTTTTTTTTTTTAAGAGCAACTTCAGTTTTTAATCAGACGCAGTTTTAAAGAAATTTATCTTTTTACTAATTTAAAAAAAAAAATAAATCAACTTTTTACATTGACAATTATCAATTTTTTTTTTTTCAGTTGCATTAGGAATTTATTTACTAACAAGACCTGTTTTTTTTTAGGATTTATTTTGGTTATTTGGATGCTTTTTAATTTATTTTGATACTAATTTGTACCTTATGAGGGTGATCGTCATTTTTCGTTAACCTTTTTTTTTAAAAAAAAGTTTGTATTCGTTTAATTAAGTTAATTGCTTTTTAAAGGTTTTTTTTCTATAGTCATCTTAGTTGAAGCAAGACAAGAAAACATTTTGCGTGAGAAACGAAGGTCAACTCAAAATCGTTCATCGCTAATCTAAGATTCACACATTTACAACCATAATTTACATAATTATCTTGTTTAGTTTGTGAATGCTATGTCACTTTTTTTGGGGGGGGGGTGCAAAATTACTTTATTGTGAATAAGACTGTTCATCTGTCATTTTTAGACTGTTAGTGTTTGTTATGAATTTGGAAAAAAAAAAAAAAAATGAAATTTGTTTAAATATGGCATAATTTTTTTTAGGTCGTTGTTTCCTTTTATTTTTTACAATTAAAGTTTAAAACTAAAAGCAATCGTTGGAGATGAAAGACAATATTAAAAACAGTTAAAAATAAAATTTTAAAGTGTCATAAGTCTGACTTACGATTTAAATAATTTTAAATTTAGCAATATTAGAAGAATCAATGAAAATAAAAAAAACGTCTGTACAGTGTACTTAAACTACAGAGGTTACTAAATTTTTATTATTAATTTTATTTAAGCATCTATCCATCCTGTTGGGAATACAATTCACAACATAACAAGCAAATGCTGATATATGCAAAAAATGTTTTTGACATGAAAAAACGGTCAGCAGGAGTCTGTAATTTCTGACAAATTAAAAACGTATTTGAATTCAAAATGCTTTCAAAATGAAAAAAAAAAATCTTGGCTTTTTACACCCTAGATTTATTTAAACAGCTACAAGAATAATAAAAGGTAGACTGCAACTAGATGACTTTTTGGATAGATACCGTTTCCCACCCCTTTTTTTTTATTTTTTATTTTTTAAAGACAACACTTTACAACTGACAAATACATACGACGGGTAGGAGCTTGGAGATATTTTTTTTAATTTAGAATTGAAATTTAATAGTTTATATAGCTGTGCTAATTATATCTAATTAACTACAAGCATAAACAATTGTCTGACTCTTTAAAATTGTTGTAAGATTCTCTTTTTTTTTGAGAAGACCAAAAGAAAAAGACAACAAGCCGGTCGGTTTGGAGGAGTGAATTCAATTTTTGATTGAATGCTAAAAACACAATCTAAACATCTCGTTTCCCGTTTTTTTTGCTTTTTTTTTTTTTAATACGGAAATATATTTAAAAAAAAAAAAACGACCATTACCTGCACACGATCTCGTCTTCCATATCTTCATCAGCAGGATAATAATTGCCAACAAATGTGACATATCCCCGCAAAGCCTGAAAATATTCATTTTGGTCGCTGAGTTTGGAAAGCCGTCCTCACATACACTTCTTTACACGTCCCGCAATGGCTCCGTACTGAAGACGTGGCCGCCGCTGCTGCATTCTGGGATGTGCACAACCGGAAACACTCGCTCACAGACACGCAAACAAGAGCAGACAACTCCCAACTTCCATTTGACGGCGTGGCTGGCCTGGATAAAAAGAGCAGATTTTTTTATTTTTTTTTATTTACCAGCTGGTTTCTATTGATCGGAAGAGAAGCTTATTTAGTAAAGGGCATTGTATTTTTATTTGAAAGAGGTTCTTTTATCACCCATCATTCATTGTGGTTCATTCATTTCTGATTAATATCCAATAACTTTCTACTGCTGTTGAGTGTTGACGTTTTTTTACGGTTTGCTCAACTGCCAAGACTTATAATTAATAAATAATAAAATAAATATTGGACAACTTTTTTTTTTACATTTTCTAAGCCGCGGAAAATATTGGGAAGGGCTCTTTAAATGATTTTTTTAAAAGTAACTTTTTTTTCGACGAAAGCCTTCATAAGAAAGTGTGGCTCTTTTTCACTCAGTTAATACGGGTGATTCGAGTTTAAATCCCAACAGGTAGTTATTCAGGCATTTGGAAATATTTTACCGCTACATACTGGGTGATCAGTCTCTTTGTTCAGTTGTTTTCTTGCTTGTAAAAATTGCAATACTAAAAGAAAGTATGTATTAATTAGAATTATGCAAAAAAAAAAAAAAAAAAAAAAAATCCTAAAAAAGGGGAGAAAACTCTTTGTAAGAAAAAACCGCCGAAACTAAAGTCTCAGTATAAGTGCTGGGTTAGTGAATTTCGTTAACTTCCAAACAAGGTGAAAAAGTTGCTTCAAACAAAAGTTAACCTAAAGTTTAAAAAAAGCTTAAACAAACCGTAAAATTATTTCCACGGTGAATCAAACAAATAAAAAAGAATTCAGGGTATTATAACTTTTGCTTTTTTGTTACAATCATATGAGATTTATTTGCATAAAGAAAGCCGTTTCTGGAAATGATTATTTTTTAAAACTAGTTTAAAAAGGAATATATTTGATTTGACTCTTGATTTAAATTTTAAATTTATCTTTTCCATGATGCAATTTGTAAAAATGATAAAAAGAGCACAGAAAGTAGATTAAACTGAAAAAAAAATCTCTTGATGTTTTCCGAAGTTTTCGAAAAAAAAAAAAACAATTTTAAAAATTTCACAGATCAAACACCTGTTTTTAGTTACTTAGTAAGTTTTTCCGACAAAAAAGTAAAAAATCACAGATTACGATTTTAGAATGAAAACTTGTTTTAACTTAACGGAAGCAATTTTGTCAGATATAATAATTTTTATTTTGCTTTAAAAAACAGAATGATGCTATTGTTTTAAAATAACGGCAGTTATAATATATAGCCAGGTGAAAAATATTACCATTAATAAAATCAAATCTGTTTACTTTTTCCTTTCTTTTTCTGCTTACGCCGGCTTTTACTAAATTGGTGCTGCTAGTGGTGGTGGTAGTAGTAGTAGTAGTAGTAAATTGTGAGATGAGGCTTACACTTTGGCTTGATATTTTTTTATATGCTTTAAAGTAATTCAACAAAAATATATAAGTGTGAAAATAAAATAAGTCTAATTAAAAATATAGAGGATTTTGACTTTTGAGAAGTACTTTTTTGCTGTTAGTGTTACTGTTAATTTATTTAAAATGAATTTTTGTTCATTTTTCAACACTTAGTTTTAATCTTTACTCAGAATACTTTTTTTTTAAATTTTTAAAGAGACATTTTTCCAATAAATGGGGCAGTAAAAATAATTGCTTTTTTTTAATGGAATATAATTTTATGGTTATATCATGTTGCAATACCGGTTCTTGCCTACTCACCGAAGTTAAGCCTGGTCAGTTTCTAGATGGGTGACTGCTGTAAAGCTTGGATGTGCAGGAGGTGTAGTAGCTAGTAGATAACCACTCGGAATGAGAAATCGGAGAGTTGAGTTCAAATCACAAGTGGAGTTCGTTATATGCTCAAATACCTGTTATGATTCATGATGATGATGATGATATTTCTTCATCATTCTAGAAATAAAGACCTGAAATTTCATCATTCTCTAAAAACAATCTTTCCACCAATGATGAAATATCATCAAGATGATGTCATCATTCTAGAAATAAAGATCGGAGATTTCATCATTACGACCTTTCCACCACAAGAAAAGGTAGCAGTAGTAAAAGGAACAACATAAACAATGTAGAATCACACCAGCACCATTACATACACAGTACATAGAAATCATGCGACAAGCATTTCATACTCAAAACTAGCTCGCTGATTGGTCAGTTCCGACCAATGAAACCGCCTGTACGCGTCAAATCTGTTTCCCCGCTCAATATGCTCTGAGCCAGTCACGTGATACACCATCTTATATATAAACAAAACACGAGTGATTCTCTCTTTCTTTTTCGTCACTCTTGCGTCTCAAACCTTTGCTGCTAAAATGTGACCTTCAAGAACTCTCGTCTTGACCATGCGGCCAGACGTTAAAGAAAATTACCATTTCCTGCAAGTACGAACTCTAAATCTCTTCTGAACTCTTACCAACTTTATCAATCCACAATTCCTAACATGCAACAGGAACTTATTCTTCTAAACTACAGTTTAATAATTAATTCACTTTATGAGCTCAAGTACAAATATTTCCAAATCTAAGAGACATAACTCTATCAAACCTTCAGCTTATATGCATGTATACCAAACACTAATAAATTCAACTGTTATATTTTGATTCATTACGTTTCTGTTTTGTATTTTATACTATGTGCTATTTTACGTCAAATATAAACTGCATTGTGACCGCCACATTTGATAGCGACCTCCAGCGTCTTTGCTTTCCTTAATCACGTCTTTCCTAGCCAAAGTAAAATATATATGAAGCATCATCCCTACATAATGGTGAACACACCGTTACAACAAGACGTATTTTCTTCGCTCCGTGAAAATCCAGAGTTGACGGTTTCAAAAGCATCTTTTAACCACGAAATTCTCAGAACAATTATAAACAATATAAAAAAAAGGAATCCTCTATCAAATACTAATATATATAACAACACAACATCAATCCCGTTACATACCTTTGGGAAAGGTACTGTAAATCTATCTCTTTTTCCTCCAGTTATGGGTTAAATAGTAAGACAGACTGGGTCCTATTGCTTTGGTTGGTAGCCAGTCTACTGCAAAAAGTAACGGCAAGTCAATCATAAATTGAAGAGAGACATGCTTACCCAAACGTGTATCACGTATGGCATATAAAGAAGGAAGAAAGGATAATTTTAAAAGTTTTCTATAGTGTCTGTACGCGTCAAGTGTTTTCTGTACACATGTAAGAGCAGCGTTTTTATATACAATGGATTGTATATAGGCACAAGCATTATGAAACGAGGCTTGCGTTTTTGCACTCAATAAAGATTCAGAAGATGAATGTGCAGGATTATCAATATAATAACCCAATGATGCACAAGTTGCGTCAGGTATTTGAGAACAAATTCTAATTTGGGGTAATCATATTATTTAGCAAAAAAAAAAAACCTTTTTTTTTTTTTTACAAAATTTAGTACACACATTCTTACATACATACACAAAGCATAAGTCTATTTAGTAAAAGTTTGGAACTAGAGCCATAAAACGGGCCATAATTCGTATTAACAAAAAAATGAAAGTAATATTGTTATATAGGCTAAAACAGTGTTTCTCAACCTTTTAAGCAACGGCAGACATACCCTACACGCAAGCCGCTGGCGGGCCGCTGATGGTAACGCAAAGTTATAATAATTCATGAAAATAATTTTGTTAATTTACATGAATTTTCATTAGTTCATACCCAAACGATATAGAATAGCTGGCTTTATTTAAAGCATTTTCTCAGAGGAAAAAGAAACCAACAAGCATCCGCACGAAAGAAACTGAATATATATTTTGAAAAAAAAAAAAATCAAAAATGTATTCGAAAATATATTAAAAACAATAAACGATATATATAAATTTTAACTTGCGAATTATGGTCCCTGTTTTATGGCCCTGATTCTAGAATTTTGACGTATATTCAATATAACCACCATAAGCTTATAGTGCCTCTTACATTTTCTAGACAAACCGGATGTTGACCGTTCGACGGCCCAAAGCAAACTGTGTAAATACGATTTCTGCGCACCGGCCCCATGCATACATCCAGTCAGAGTCACTCCCGCTCAAAAAAATCAAAACCTTAATTTCGAGCCGATTGAAAGCTATATATACCCAAATTCAACGTCTTGGAGTGGATGTATGTTTTTTTTTCAGGTGACCCGTTTTTCAACTCGCGACCGCGAAGATATTCTGTCTCAGCCGTTTTTGATGACATCACGTCGGGCTATTAGAATGCTGTCTTTGACCTGGTTATAGATCATATAGGGGAAAGCTCGTGTAACTACCAACGCAGATGTGAAATCGTTTCGGGACTTTGTCTGCAAATTTGATCTTGTCGATAAGTATCGCAATGAACACTCCCGGGAGGTAGTGTGGACTTAGACTAATAGGGGCAGCTCGGTTTTGGTGTTGCGTTCTAGCTACATCGACCGAGCCCTAGTTAAAAGGTTGTCCAAGTTTCCACTTGATAGTTTACACAGATCATAGGCTCGTCTGGGTTCGTGCAAACTTAGATAAGCCTAAGATTAGGTTGGCTGGCTACTTGAACGCATCATTATTTGGTGAGCGAGATTTCCCGGACCAGTTGCTACAGTGGGAGTTGACGGGGGTTGTGGTTGGGAATAAGTGGTGGGATATATTAAAATCCAAAGTGAGGTCACTTGCTTCTGATTATAGTCGCCGACTCAGTCTAGCTAGATTAGAAGCGCAAACGGCATGTGAAGCGAAAGTTGATCGGGCGATTAAATCCCGTGATAGTGGAGAAGTAGCCTTAGTCTGTGTCGAGTAAAAGGAACTGACTTAGAGTGGCATTTTGATGCCGATTAGGCATTAGGGTATTGGAAATTCTGGAGTGAACATTGGCAACCCCGCTCAAAATATGGTAGTTTAAATTTGTTTTGCTCTTACATTTTTTTTCGTCAAAGTTAACTTAGCTAGGGGATGTATGCTAATTGGCCCCTTTTATTTTTCACCCCTACTTTCTTCAGTTTAATTCCCCCTTCCCTCCCACTTTAGGTGTCCAGAGATAACAGTTCTCTGGTGGATGCGGAATGCCTTTCGTTTTTCAAGTGTTTTTTGTTTTTGTTGTTGCGTTTGGATGAATGTGTGTTTGAGTGAGTGTGTGTTTGAATGATTGTTCGAATTTTTAAAATCCCGCATTAATATCGTCCAGTTAACTGATGTCTCTGCCATATTTAATGATTGTGTCTATTTTTAATACTAAAACTATTTTTGTTTTGTTTCTTGTAAATAAATTTTGTTCTCATTGTGTAAATATTCATTGGGGTTATAAATTTTTAAAAGTTGTTTTTCATAGAGTCGCTGAGGTATTATGGTGTCTGTAGTAAGAATGGTAAGTACGGATATGTTGTTTTGGTGCGAGTGTTATTGTGCTATGTTTAGGTTAGTGATAGTTGCTAGCTAAGTTTAAGTATAAGACAGATGAAGACTAACTTTTCCAATCCCCCATTTTAACCTTATGCCATATTTGTACATATTCGTACAATAAATATCGTTCATTAAAACTTACTCTTAAGCAAATTCGTATTGTCTCAAACAATTCTACTAGAGTACATAGAGTTTTTAAATCTAGGAAGATTTTGTAGTGAACAAAACAAGATCTAGATTTAAAATTCAAATGCTAAGCACTGACTCATTGATTCTGTTAGAAATTTAAAAGACTCGAATTTACAAACTTTGCTTAAGACACACGCAAAAGCGAATCCAAAACAAAACTCGTGAAGTTTCACACCTTGATGCGAAATGTTTTTCGGCCAATAGAAAACTTGGAAACATTTAAAAAATTCTTTTACGGACGTTTTCGCGAGCCGACGCGAAGTTTGTCCGTCGTCCAATCATATTCGGGAGTGAATTCCCAAATGACCTTTTCAAGCCCCACAAGCAAAATAAAAGACGGGCAAGTTCGCCTGCCACCAGAGAGAAAAGGAGACGAGCGTATTAACACAAACGTCAAGCGATCGTTATTATTATCTCTACCTTTCTCTATCACCTCTTTTACACTTGATAAACGAACGCTGAGCGATTACTTCAAATACATTCCTACCCTACGATAACGCCCATACATACATACATATATCCATATATACGTTCCTGCCTATGTACACATAAACTCATTCTTGCAAGGACTACTATGAACATTTTGACAACCTTGTATCAACCAAAATACATTAATTTTATCTGTAGAGATTTTAATTGATTTATATGTATATAAATTTGTTGTTTCACTTTACAATTTAATTTTCTTGTTTTATACCCCTCTTATGGTGAGCTATCTAACTAACAAGGCCAAATGAAACTAATCTGTTTCAACATTCATACACTTCACTATAAGTGATAACCCACTATAATTAAACTAGGAAGCTAAATGTTAGGGGCAACATGATCGTGAAAATGTTCAGTCTGTCTTGCTGGTATACATAGTCTCCTACAAGCTACATCTATGATTCAGAACCTGTTAATAGTGTTTCGATGTAAGTGGTGGCTTTAACCCTAAGTCCTCGAGAGAAAAAGTGGGACGCATGACATGTCCTTTATTGCTCACAACCCCCAAAGACCATTAAAGACAATGGGAACTTGATGTGCATAACAGTTGGTTCTTCAGTGGGATCTGGCACACAGATATCTGTCATTCCTTCTGTTCGCTTCTTGATCTTGAACAAAGGTCTTGTTATCTGAGAAAAAAAAAAAAACAGAGCATGTTCGGTTCCTTGGGTTGCTTGACTTTGTTTAGGATGTGCTTCGGTAGAATCACACAGTTCAACTGGATAAGATTGAACATGAACTGACACCTCCTTTCAATGTAGGATTTATAGATGTCTTTGTGCATCCCATGTCTGATTGCTGATTCTAACCAATGAAGCTGGTTGGTAATATCCCTTATTAATTTTCTGGAGTTCTTGTTAACGATACACTAGAGTTATTGGATGAACTCAAAATTCCTGACAATGATTGACTGTTGAGAATGTTTATTTATTTATTTTGGCCACTGAAGACACGTTATTGCTATAGACCTGGAGCTCTTTTCTTATCTTAAGCACAAAGACATTTCAATTTTAAAGGACTGCAATTTCCAAATCTGTGTGGTTGGCAGTTTGTGGGTTACCTCCACATAGCTTCTCCAGTTTTACCAAGGAGTCGTTAGAGGGCGCTGTCAAAGATCTATACAAATGGAAGACATTATTTCTCTTGTCTCTCCTTTCCCTCTCGCTTGTGGTAGAAGTGACAATACCAACAAGCGAATTGTAATATCTTTCCCATTAGTGACTGAACTATTCTTTAACTTTTGCAAGTGTAGTGAATCTAAGAAGGCTGCGTGAATATTTTAATGTTTCGCTGTAAATGAAACATGCAGCATCAACAGACATAAATTTAAATAAAAAATCAAATGATAAAGATATTCAATTACGACAAAAAGGATAGACTTGGGAACAAATAATACATTTTTTATATGCAGAATATTGCAATTTTGTTTTGTAAAGATGTGTGCGAAAGTTTGATTAGAGTATTTTTAAAGAGAAAAGTTCTTGTTACTGGTTTGGAAATGTTTCGTATATTTGTAATGTAGTTTGCAAAATTTCGTACGTACGTGCATGTGTGCGTGTGTGAATATGTTTTCAGCGTTCGACCGCATTGGGGTCGCAACGCAGTTTCTTTTAAGTTTACATTTTCGTAGGCGAATGATATCAAGAAAAGAAAAGAGAAAGAACAAATTCTTGTCCGATATTTATAATTAACGTAATCACGTGACAGGCTCCTGGAAAAGAAACGGGAAAACTTGACTTGGTCACGCGCTGGAAAAAGACTTGTACGTGGGTGGATTGCAGCGTCCACTTGTGTGTTTATTGACCAATTAGAAGTTGAGATTTCCTGAGAATATGTATGAAGCTGGGTAAGCTCTTTGATCCACTTTTTGCACAGATTCGTACAAAATTCGACATTGATAAAAAAGTGGTATCGGGATGCTAAACATGCATACTCTTGCGTTTTCTCTTTCTTTTTACTCTGTAACAACATATTTTATATTTTTTGTGTTTTATGTAGCACAAAAAATATCACATTATTGAAATTGTTATTCATTTTCTTACACCCGTCATTTACACGGGCAAAATATTGTTGCTATTGATTTTAGTCTAACTAGAATCAGTGCCTGCAACATTATGGTGACCACCGACATGGCTTCAACGTGCACTCACTGCAACAAGTTAAACCAATGACTACGGTGTGGGTTTTCATCTCCTGTAGTAGAGCCAAAGCTTAAACGGTTGAAAAAGAGATTTTTAGTTAATGTTGGTAACTTATGACTTTCTAAATATGTGTTCTCAAATACCTGACGTACACACTGTATTCTCAACTCAGAAGAATTTGCAGAATCCGTGTTGAAAGCAAATTTTAGTAGAGTCAAAATTTGATAAAAATGTGTCAGTTCGAGCATCGAAACTATTTTTTGATTTAATTTTTTTTTTTTTTTGCTATACTTAGGTAAAGCCGAACGGGCAAAGATCGTCCTTAATTGAAATGATTGATTTTACTCTTTGTCTTTTAAAACATACTTCACTTTGAACTGAAATAGGCTAACATTTGTGATATATATATATCATGACAATGGCAGAGATTTTAACATGGACAGATGAAA